TAGTACAGCAAGATAGCACAATATCACGACAGCACGACGACATCATGACAACATGTCAGCAAGACAGCAAAACATCATGACATAATGAAGCACACCATAATCACCCGGATATAATACGCCCCATTAGTAGACCTGGGTATACTATTAAGGTCACCGATATCCATGAGGAAGAAACAGGTTAGTGCATGTGATAAATCTTAACTCTACAATATTGTGTGTGGATTTCGTGCAGTCGAAATTGCTGTTAGGGGATACGGCTGTTGATGCGGAAACTGGTCGCACCACGGCGCGCTCCGGTTTGCCTACACAGAGTGTCACTCATATGCGACTGTTGCATGAGATGCCTTTTTCCGCGCCAAAACCTTTGCGTGTCATTTTGTGGTCATCAGGTTAGAAAGTCACCTTCCATGTGTCCGCTATTTTCGCCTGAGTCATTGTTTTCGCATCACGATTCGTCGTGGTGAGATCCCCGCGTGCGATATGTTGGAAGCAGAGCGCTGGTACAGTCGGTGCTCATTTCAAGAACACCAGGTAGGCGGGCGGCAATGGACTGAAACGGGCAACTGGCATTTCGTCGATATTCGCCACGTCGCCACGGGCAAAAATGGGACTGTAAAGTAAAAGTGGGACCTTCGTCAAGTCGCTGTAACTCGGTCAACCCTTTTAAGATGACGTATGCGATGACGTATGGACGGGCGACCTCTGTTGTTTCTGAACTGTAGAGGTCGATCTTCTGCAACTTGGTGACTCTACCCCAATGCTCAATTCAGGGCGTATTCCAAAGCACGGACACCATCCGAAGTTGGGCCACGCGGTCCGCAATGTTGGAAATTCGAATTTCAATGTTGCGCCACGCGGTTCAGCATCAAGACACTTTGGAGCTGACGGCCACGTAACATGCGACCGTCTTGCACGTCTTCATGCGACAAGGGGTTTCATGCCATGTTGGTGTATGATTGGGACATTGAACCTGACAGGCTGAGTACGTGACCAGTTACCGTCACGAAACTTTACGCATTCTGACCCGCGCGCTAGTCGGTTGTACAAACTCCAGATCCTCACGACGTGAACAAGTACTCGCTGCTCTGAACACCAAGCCAACCAACATAAAAACACATCGCTATGCTCACAATACTACGCTCATCACTGCACACTCCGCCATTGACGCAACCACAACCATGGCGACGAACGATTCCGTCGCCGCATTAGCGGCTATCACAGCATTCCTCCAGTGGAAGAAACAAGACGACGACGAGACTGACAAGCTTCTAGCGACAGCGGCCTCCGAGTGGATCAGCAGCATGAACCTCCCTGCTGAACGTGCTACATCAAGGCGGGCCACGAGGATGGCAAGGACACAGCATCGCGCGCGATGGTTAGAGGCGATAGAGACCATGCCGGAGCACGAATTTATAGGGTTATTCCGTATCAACCGGAACATTTTAGAGTACCTCGAGACCGAACTTGCAGAATCGTTCCTCCCATTGACGCGAACCGACAACATCCCATTGCGCCTATGCATTCTGATCCCTTTGAAGTATTTGGCGACGGGCATGACGTATCTTGATATGAGCTGGTTCTTTGCTGTTCCAAAAACAGTGTGCCACCAAGCTGTGGACATCTTCCTTCGTGAGTTCCCTCTCAGGTTCAAAGCGGAGTGGGTACGCTTCCCTTCGCCAGAGGCCATGACTGAAATGGAGCTGGAGTTTCGGGAGTCCAAGGGCGTCCCGAACGTCATCGGAGCCGTCGACGGCACGCACATTCAAGTGCGAGGCATCGATGACTACCGCAGCGAGTACTACTGCCGTAAGCAGATGTACTCTGTTCAGCTTCAGCTAACAGTCGACTCAAAATGCAGGATCTGGGATTACGTTGTGGGGTACCCAGGTGCAGCGCATGACGCGCGTGTATTCACGAAGAGCGCTTTATATGGACGATTACAGCAAGGAGACATCACACCCTACCAGCTACTTGGAGACGCGGCCTACCCATTGACCGATTTCTGCCTAGTTCCGATTCACGCAAGCCGGACACGTCTACTGCGAGGTTGGGAGCAAACATTTAACTACGTGCACTCTTCTACGCGGATGGCTGTCGAGCGCGCCATGGGACTATTCAAAGGCAGGTGGAGGATCTTCAGTAACTGTCACGAGTGCAAGCTGTGGAGGGTGTGTGCGGGGGTGGGGTGTGCTGTCATTCTTCACAACATGATCGAGCAGCAGGAAGAATGTCGGGGGATTGCACGCGGAAGAACGCGCGGACCACCGACGCGCGCAAGGAACCCGTGGTGGGAGCGCCATGGCATGCGACAGTATCGGTGGCATCCAACTCCCGCCACATCCCGTGCGGAGGTGGTCGAGCGGCGCCACCGCTTCGGCACCCGCATTTATGTCAGAACTAGCAGTAGAAAGTAAGAATGAAGAAAGGAGGGGTTTCACTAGCAAGCAGTTGAGTACATATAGGAAACCCTAGATTGGGCTGTACTCGCTATAGAGCACCCCACTGCTGGCTAGACAAATACAACATTCTGACAATTCACGCTGCCTGGCTTAGGCGCCATGAGGAGGACGCGTCTGCGCCTGAGCAGTAGTGAAATACCACTGCCCATTGCTGTCCTGCGCAAGAGGGGGAGGGACATTGCTGATGTATGAAGGGTCGGCGAAGATCTGACGCGCTCCCAGCGGGTCAGCAGCGTACGGCGCCGATGAAGGGGGCGCCATGATCACGGAAGGCGCCGTAGAAGGGTCGGAACGGGGCGGCCCATCTGATGGAGTTGTGCCACTGCGACCCCCGGGTGACGCCGTTCCGCCAGTCGCGAGAGGTTCCTTGCTTGACGGTGCTGGCGCCATGCGCTCGAGGACAGCTAGGAGGCGCTCGAAAGCCGCGTCCTGCCTGCTGTTCCGTTCGTTCATGATGCGCGTGATCGTGTCGGCCACGAGGAGATGCCCGGCGTACGCCGGAGATTCCATGGCGCGGCGACGAACGGGAATGGTAGGGGGGGGCGTGCCTGGAGTATGGGCGGGTAGAGGGGTAGAGGAGGGCGTGAAATGCGTGAATGCTCGTAATCGTAGTTGCAATCCGATTGGTTATGCTACTGGTTTGTCGTTCCAAGGCAGGAATTGTCAAATCATTGCTTATGTCCGCGGAATCATTAAATGAATGAACGAGCAGAATTGACATGTGCACTTACCTTCAATCCCCACATCCGGGTTTCCCAAAGGCGCCGTCGTTCGTGTTGGCTGTGCATTGGCGTGGCGCGCGCCTCCTTCATCCACCACGTGCGGATTGGGCGCCCTATCGGCGTGTACGAAATTGTACACGTATAGGAACCAATCCGGCTTGGGAATTGGAACGGCTCCAGATTGCGCCTCATCGGTAAGAATGTCGCCCATTTTTAACTTCAGCCGTGTCCACTGCTTTGCCATCGCGTCAGATGGGCGCCTCCATTCTGGGTTGGTGTTGCGAAGGACTCGGCGCATCTTCTTCCAAGGCTGTGCGCCTTGCTTGCCCTTCATGTTATCCCAATCCCCTTTCGCCATCCACATTGCAGCCGCGAGCTCAGTAAGCTCGTCGTCGGTCCAGTGAGACTTCTTAGGCTTCGACGTAGAGGCCTTGCGCTTCCCTTTCGGGTCGCGCGGATCGACTGGCTCGTCTCCGTCGTCGTCCACAGCATCCGTGGTCGTGAAACCGTCAGAGTCGCAGTAGGATTCGTCGTCGGAGTAGGCGCCGTCCTCCTCGCAAGGAATCGGCGGCTCCTCCTCATCAGGGCCCGCGTCGCCAAGTCCCACCGCGGTAGGTTCAGCATTAGGCGAAACGCCAGGGCGGCGAGTGCCCTGTGAGTCCGTGACTCCAATGAGGCGAAGGCGACTGATCCCCATGTCCATCTGCTGCTTCATCCAGACAACAAACGGAGGATCAGGGCGTGGCGCAGGGGGTGACTGTTCTTCCACTGCCTGAGCCCGAGAAGCACGTTTTTTCCTAGGAGCCATTGTGAGTGGGTGGGAGAGGACCTTTGCTGGCTAGTAGTTGGTGTCGAATGTGTTATGACGAGTGCAAGTTTTGTATGGTTTCAAGGCACGGGAAACAAGAAGCATAGAGTTGGAAGGGATGGAGTGCCAGATCGCGAGTGTCAACCAAATCGAATGTTCAAAGCGGGGGAAAAAACGATTTCGCGGCACAAGTTTCACAATTGCCCGCGAAGTCAGAACTGGACGTTTGGCAGGCTACACTGCGACGGGTTCTGGCAGATTCTATTGGGCGCGAAGCAAACCAAACCAGCTCTGCGTCAGACGACGCAGACGACCGTTCCGGCCAACCCTGCGACCCCAAAAGTCAAGAGTGGGGGCCTGCCCCACACAGACACCATCCCGAGCCCCAAGAAGTTCGGATGGGGCCACTTCGGATGGTGTCCGTGCTTTGGAATACGATCTCAGTCACTCACGGGCAAAAACGTTCGCGAGTGACTGTTTTTCTGATTGGCATGACCTTTGGACACAGGATAAGGTGAGCATCGACTGTAGGGGATGTGTTGAGGCGGGAGGTGGTGGGGGGGGAGGGGAGGGGGGAAACTCGACCGACGTTCGGACTTGAGATGTTCATTCTCGCTGAACCTGTCTTGAACCGTCTAGAAAGCTCTGAAACGCAACGAAACCTACCGAACCGCATGTTCTTAATGCTGCAACTGAGGGCGGGGACAAACCACTGGGAGGCACAGTCACGAACAAGACTGGTCCTGACCTGACAACAAATGCGCTGCCTACACACACATTTCATACCAGACCGCATCCCTTGCCTAGATCGACGGCGTATCATCTCACGACACGTCGTGTATCCAGCCACTATTTCATTCCAATCCACATCCATTTCCTTCCCTTCTGGAAACCTCGACTTCCCCTGACCTCCATCCATCAGCAGTACACAGTCGGAATATATCTTGCTTTGCACAGCAAGTTCCACACTCAATCACAAGTCGTTCTCTTGAAACTAGCAAACCTGCAGCAATGGCCCGGTCCCCATCGTCGACGCGCGCCCTCACCCTCGCCGTGCTTTTCTCCGCGTCACTATGGGTAGCGAGCCTCCCGCGCTCCGCGGATGCAGTTCAGCTCTCCTACGTGCTGTCTCAGATCCGCAACAAGACCAACACGGGCGCCAACGCGGACATATCCGCGGGAATGGTGGAATTCGCCGCTGGATACGACAAGGTCGATGACATCACTGGAGGCTCGCTTCTTCTGCCCATCAACGACGGCTGGACTAACGCACTCGCGGCCTACAAGACCAACAATCCGTCTGCGACAACCTCGTCGGACCCGGTTCTCGAGGCGCTCAGCACGATTGTGTCCTCGTCGGGGTCACTGTCGGCCCTCAACGGCATGTCGTCCAACGCCAAGAACGCCATGTCGCGCCTCGCCAAGTTCATGTCTGTTCGCGAATATGTCGGACCCACCGAAATGCAAACTGGCACCGTGAGTGACCCGCACCGTGCCGATGTACTCGGCGCGGAACGAACACCATGACCCGCTAGGCCAATTCCTACATTCTTGCACCTCCTGCTTTTGGAGAATTCAAAAAACCAATTCCTACTTTGTTGCATCCTGGTTTTAAGCAACTTGCATTAAAACCTTCGGAGGCCAAAAAATTTCCCTTTTTCGCGATGGCATCTCCTCCACCATTCCATGTTTGACGATGTTGCACAATCCTCTTTCCTCGTCATTGCACCTCGCCAATTGTCCCATTCTCATCATTACGCATTCGTTTCCCTCCCAAGCAGTACAAGAACGGGCGGTTCAGCTTGAACACGGCGCTCAACCAGCCAATCTATCTCTACGCCAACGTCACCGGCGTCCTCACAACCGGCAGCGGGATAGATCACGTTTTCACCGGGACCGACCGTGGCGCCGTCGACCCGACTACGTACAAGAAGAATGGACTCGTGGCGGGCAGTGGCGCTGGAGGGCCGAAGGCAGTCGGGGATGTGACAGCCGTCTTTGGTCTTGCCAGCTCCACTCAAGTGCTGGGCAAGACCACGTCGTCATCTGACATGTCCGCGATTGTTGTGTCTGACCCCGTGTTCCCCGCGACCATGAGCTCGCTTACCAGCTCCGACCCCGTGCAACCGTATGGCAAAGGTGCGTTGTGGCGTGTGGATGGTACAAGCGGGCCTTGAGAGCGACTTGCTGTTTTTTTTTTCAGCAATGATGCCACGACAGGAAGTTTGAAACGTCGAAGCTCCTGGGAGTGCCGAGTGGACACTTGCTGAGGTACAGTGGCATGTCCTTGTTGCTGCATGCCCATGCATTGTGACAGCCTCTCTGTCCAAACCTGAGCTGCTGCTGCAGCAATACCATGTCAGCTTTATTAACCGGTTTGGGATGTTCTCCTTTGAATTTGCAGGTGCTGGAAGTTTTGCGATATATGGAATTTTTTTGGCGCTGGGTCTTTCTGTGATTGCGCTGCTTGTGCTCATTTAGGAATTGATGTAAGCACAATAGAGTCTTCCGTACACCAATTCGCTCTACTTGTTACCCTAAACAGTTTAAGAGAGGCTGGTTTGTAATGATATATATTGCTACCGTACCGCAATGTTTATCCATTGAGAATCATGTCATGACAGTATTTGTTCTGTTAAATATCAACGTGCCTGTTGACAGACTGGGACCAGATTTCCTTCTTTTCAGCCTTCTGTCAAGGAAAGGATAGTAGATGGTGTACCCCTTGACCTGATCTCCAATAAAGAAAGTGCTGCGATGCACTTAGTACAAACCAAAGTGCCTCCTGTCAGGCACAGATCCCCTTCTATTCCGCCTTAGTAGGCTCCTCCAGAAAAGGGTAGTCGATGTACCCCTTGACCTGGTCGGGGATGAAGAAGGTGCTGCGGTCGTACGCGTTGAGCGGCGCGTTGAGCTCAAAGCGCTTTGGGAGGTCGGGGTTGGCGAGGAAGAGACGGCCGTACGTGATCAGATCCGCCGCCCCGCTCTCAATGGCTGCCATGCCGCTCTCGCGCTGGGGGTTGGGACAACAGTAAGGGATTGGAGAGGAAGGGGAGGAGAGGAGAGCACAGTGGGGAGGATGGGGGGGATTGGCGGTAGAGATGGAGGGGGGGGGGGGGAAGAGAGGGTGGGGTTGTGTGCATGCGGGATATGCATAGAATATGGATAGACTGCAGCACATGATACGTATGGTACGTGTTGGAATACGGGACGACCTTTAGAAACTGCATCCTGCATTGCCTTACTATCACATGATGCATAAATTGCCACACAACATGCATCGCCATACAACCATCCAACATGCATTGCCATTCAACATGCATTGCCATTCAGCATGCATTGCCATTCAGCATGCATTGCCATTCAGCATGCATCGCCATTCAGAATGCATCGCCACGACAGTGGAGTCACCATACTAATGCAGCACTTGTGGCGCAACAGACCGGGCCCAGCATACCTTGTAGCCACCAGCAGCAATGAAGGGCCCCTTGAATGCCTTGCGGAATGGCTCCAGAGTCTGCAGGTAGAGTGAATGGAGTTGGGGGGCGGGGGAGAGGGGAGGGAGCAACGGCGAAGAATTTTGAAGTCTTTTTTTCTTAAAGCTCGCGGCCCAAATTGTACAACGTTACTAAAGTTGCATGTTGGGAGGTGAGGGAGCAGGGTTGGCTAGTCGAGGTGTTGGGTGGGTTGAGGGCTTTGGTTTCGCCCAACTTCTCGCCAATCTCAAACACATTTCGCTGACTCAGTAGACCCCAGGGGCCACTTCGCGTTTGGTTGCATGAGTCCCATATTGCACAAATACTATCCTTGCCAGTTTCCCACCCAACCCCCTCCGCAAACACTGTTTCAATTTTGCTAGCCAATCAGCTCAGTGTTTCAAATTGACTAGCCAATCAACTTCCTTCGTACAACCCGTAACCTCAATTCGCAAAACCAGCACCTGCAAAACAACTATCAATCAACCTTACTAAGGTTGCCCAACGCGGCCCGCAATTTGGGCCGCGAGCTTTAAGCGCCTCAAAAATCGCCTCAACAAATGGCGGCTCTAAAGTCTGCAGAGAGGGTGCAAAGGGGGAGGAAGCAACCGCAACAGAAAGCCGCAGCAGCATCCAATCATGGCAGCAAGCATAGAGTGACATGTGCGATGTGCCCCACCCACGCTTACCTCCACCACGTCTTCCGTATCGCAGCCCAACCTCAACTCCTTCGCAGCCGCAGCAGCAGTCAATCCTGAATTACCTTTGTGAGCCTCCGTCACATCCTCATTCACAAGCACTACTCACCTCCTACGCGCCTCTCATCTCCCTCACTGGTCATCGTTAGCCAGCCCTGCACTGCGCAGGCCTCCACGAAGCGCACATACGCCAAGCCAGACAGAAAGACACAACCCCCACACACACCCACCGCCAATGTGCATCTCACCTCCTTCACAGTCGCTATGTCGTCGTTGCCTCGCACGCGGGCGTCGATGAAGTGCACATACGCCAGGCCCAAGCCGTTGACGGCCTCCACCATGCCCACGTACGTGGCGACGGGGTCGGAGTCAACAGCATCCAGGAACGTGCTGTACGGCGACAGGCGCACGCCCACCCTGCTGGCGCCCACCTCGTCCGCCACTGCCTTGATAACCTGGGAGGGGAAGGGGGGGGGGAGCATGGGCGGGGTGGGGGAAGCGGAGGAGATGGAGGAAGTAAGGGGGGAGGAGATTTGGGAAGAGATGGGGGGAGATGGGAAAAGGGGCTGCATTTCAACGCCTCACTACAGCCCCACCCTCTCTCGAGTTCAGCAAACGTAGTGGCATGGCCAGCCTATTACCAGAAATCCATGCACTCACCTCCCCATAAAGTCACAGCAGCTTGACCCACGTACAGGGCGCAGAGGTGGTGTGATTTGAAGCGTGCAGCACAGCAGCTTCAACCATTGCCCCTCCAAAACTCACAGCAGCCTGACCCACCTGCAGGGGGAACCGAATCCTGTTCTCCAGGGACCCGCCAAACTCATCCTCGCGCTTGTTGCTGCCGTCCTGGCAGTGGGGGAGGAAGGTGGCGGAAGAGTGGAGGTGGGTTGTTGAGAGAGTGGGGATAATGAGGTGGGCCACCTCGGGTCCGAACTTGCCCTCAGGCTCGTTGCTGCTTGGTGGTGGGTGGAGATGGGGGAGGATTGGAAATGACAGAGATGTGGTGAATGCAGATCTGGAAAGAGGTGTGAACCTGAGCTAATGAATATAATTAAATTGGGCTGTAGAGCATGATAATCTCACACTCATCCCACCTTTTAAACCACAATGCGAGAACAAGAGACAAACAAAAGTGGGTTTGGCTAATGATTCGCATCTAGAACACACCTTTTGCCAGTTAATAATCGCAAACTAGATACTCCGCAGCATCTCCGCTCTGCGTTACTCACAATCGTGTCACGGCAACGAGCCTCAGTCATTTCACCTTCATGTACCGCCTCAGCAGGTACTCTTTCGCTGCGATAATTTCTAGTGTTGCAGATTCGCTCAATTGGTAACCCGTTCGTCACTTCCACTGCCTCACCAGAACACCCCGCCCCGTTACATCTCACCTTGATGAACCGCTCCATAGGGTACCCGTTCGTTGCGGTAAACCCTAAGTTACAGAATCGCACAAACGGTAACCCGTACGTCGCTCACAACTAGATGAGAACGATGTGCGGTCGTCTCACCTTGATAAACTGCTCCAGCAGGTACCCGTTCGCGCCATGCACCTCCACCCCATCGAACCCCGCGTCAATCGCGTTGCGCGCCGCCACGCGGAACTGCTCCGTCACCTGAAAAAACCACCCGCAGCGGACATTCAGGATGATGGAAAAGAAGAAGAAAATAAATAAACAGAGTGGGATGAGGGAAATGGGATGCGCGAGATGGATAGCAGCGGAAGCGCATCATGGGAATACTACACACCGCACAGCTGCCGCGCAGCCGCGTGGAACTGCTCGTTAGCGGCCGCGCAGCCGCCGTGCTGGGTGGCATTGCGACGATGGTAACAGGCACATCATGGAGACGGGGCAATGGGGGTAGAGCAAGCGGGCTGCCGGAAGTGCACGGCGCGTGGTACTGCTCGGTCAGCTGGGTTGTAAAGTGGAACGAGCAGGACCGGCACAATCGATAGCGGATATGGGACCATGCGGAACGCGCGTCATGCAACGAGCACAAATGCGGAGCCTCGCCTGCCGCTTCAGTCCTGGACCGAGGGGAATAAACGCCTTAGACACATAGTTTCCGTCTCCGTACCTTCCATCACGTCCGTCTCATACCTTCCATCACGTCCGTCTCATACCTTCCATCACGTTCGTCTGGCAACCTATCAAGCACTGCTCGTAGCCGCACAGCAGCTCCCTACCTTGTTGATGTCTTCGGCGGTCATGGCTCTGGGCGTGGGATAGTCCGCGGCGCCAGTGCTGATGTACACTTTGTCCTCGCTACGGATGGGAATGGCGGACGGAGCCAACGGCGCGGCGCCATCAGGCTGGTACTCTGATTGGGGCGCAATGGGGGGGAGACGGGGCAGGCGAATGACGAGGAGGAGAGGAAGGAGCGATGAGGAACGACAGTTGTGGATGCGCGAAGACTCTCGGAGAGAAAAAGGGGAACCAGTACGTGGGGTCGGGTCGCATCGTGATGGTAGGGTGAGGGACGAAGCAGGGAGAATGAACGACTCGTTGCTGGGTGAGCGATCGGAATCGCCAATGTGGAAGTGAGACGCGAGACAATCAACGCGAATGGCATTCACCTTGAACGACAACCCCAGGTTCCACGATGATGCCCCAACGTAAGAGTCTCCTCCCACCATCCGATGCACCAATGTCGCACTGCGACGCAGCGACGTGCATTGCCATGCAGCAATGTCGCATTGCGATACAGCAATGTCGCATTGCGATGCAGCAACGTCGCATTGCGATGCAGCAACGTCGCGTTGCCATGCAGCAATGTCGCATTGCGATGCAGCAACGTCGCATTGCGACGCAGCGACGTGCATTGCGATGCAGCAATGTCGCATTGCGATGCAGCAATGTCGCATTGCGATGCAGCAATATCGCACTGCGATGCAGCAAACGTCACATTGCGATGCAGCAACGTCGCATTGCGATGCAGCAAACGTCGCATTGCGATGAAGCAACGTCGCATTGCGATGCAGCAACGTCGCATTTCGATGCAGCAACGTCGCATTGCGATGCAGCAACGTCGCATTGCGATGCAGCAATGCCGCATTGCCATGCAGCAATGTCGCATTGCGATGCAGCAACATCGCATTGCCATGCAGCAATGTCGCATTGCGATGCGACTATGCCGCATCATCATTGCCAATGCGATCGGTCGACGTCGTGAAAGGAATGAGCAGGAATAAAAAAATCGTTTTGGTGCGACGTCAGTCCACGTCGTCGACACCTTAGCACGAGCGGGATTCACCTTGGTGCGACGCGCGGCCGACGTGCCACAGCTGGCAGTAGAACCGCGC